CTATTTTAAATTTTTTGCCGAATGCTCAGCTTCAGTTGCTGCATGGTTGTTGGATTATAAAAGTATACTCTATTCTTAATGTAACACCACAAAAAATAATTTTCTGGAGTGAGATCAGGGCTTCCTGGCGGCCAGGAGATGTCACCCCTGCCTGAAATTATTTTTTTGTGGGAACATGTCTCTAACCATCTAAATTCTCTCAGTTGAAGTATGACACGCAGCCCCATCTTGATGAAACCAAGTGCTCCGGTCATAACCTTGCGAATTTTGCAGCTTTGAAATCAAAAAGCTTTTCAGCCTACCAGTATAGCGCTCTCAAAAATTAATCATCCTTTCAATGCAACAAACCAATTAAAGCAGGGGTGCCTCTAAGAAGCGCTAATCTCATTCCAGCAGACTTCTTTTTGTGGGGTTACCTTATGAGCAGAGTATACTCTAATAATCTAAAAACACTGCAATTCAATTCATCCATACTGAATCCATTTTGAGGTAACTCTAAGGGCTCCTGCACACGACGCCGCCACCGCGCCGCCGCCGCGCCGTCGCCGCGCCGCTACACTGTTCATACGCACCGAGTAAAACCGCCGCCGCGCCGTCAAAGCATAATTTCGCGCGCGGCGCGGCGGCGGCGCGGCAGCGGTGTTCACGCGGCGCGTATAAGGCCTCAGCCTCAAATTTAGCGGGCAGCGGGGCGACGGCTGTAGCGGCAGGATCTTATGCGTAAAATCAAATCGACCGGTTCTCGAAAACAGCGGCGCGGGAGCTGGCAACGAGCGGGCAGCGGCGCGGGAGCGGGCAACGAGCGGGCTGCGCACTCCTTCTTTTGCCCACAATAAATCGAGCGTTAGGAATAAATTTGAATCGAAATAAAATTGTCGCCGTTGTTTAGACATTTCGTTTACGAATAAAAACAAATATCTCGACAATACAACACTTCGCCGCTAAAGCGCCGTGCGAGCTGCCCGCTTGTTTCGAGAACGAGTCTGCGTTGCCCGCCCCGCTCCCGCGCCGCCGCCGCTCCCGCGCCGCTGCCCGCTAAATTCGAGGCTGAGGCCTAAACAGCGCAAAGGCGCGGCGGCGGCGCGGCGGCGCGTCAGCGGCGTCGTGTGCAGGAGCGCTTACGAAAGTTTTCCAAAATTTTGATGTATGTTGACCGAATGTTGTAAACGTCAAGGGAATCACATGTACGATAAAATTTATAAAAGATAGTAAATTTCAAAATAAATTGCACTAAATTTCCTTTAAATTGCAATAGCTAAAGTTCTACAAAAATGTACAGTTTTCGTTTCCTTGAATTTTCAAAAGTGTATTTTCTTCTGGGCCACCCTGTAAAACCATATACATGAAGTTGTATAGAGATGGTGCTCGTGCTAGGCTCCGAAGATCCTGTGTTACGAGTTTTTTATTTTATTTTTATTGAAACGCCATTGAAATATTTTAAAATTCATGATCACATAAGTACCTAAGTATATATTATTACAGTGCGTTTATTAATCGTTTATTTATATGGATTGTGTATACGTATACATAATTATTTTATTTTTTTTCTGTAAAAAAAAAATTGCTAAATTTGCCGCCCTTCTAAATCTGCCGCCCTAGGCACTGGCCTACTTGGCCTATTGGTAAATCCGCCACTGGGCGGCCGATAAAAATACTTTGACTCATATAAATATCAATGACTCAGGTACGGATGACAAAACAGAATAAAGGCACCACACTGGCACCTTTTTTGACGAGTGAAAACCTCGGGAGTACCGAAAAGAATTATTTTCAGCAGAGACAACAAACCGTCTCCTGAACATTTTTACGAGATTTTCATTGAACGCACTATAGATGGCACTACAATCATTCCATTAGCATCGAAATGTGCGTTGAGAGGTTTTCTTACATACCTACCTCCATAAAAAAGTGTTTTTTGGTAAAAAATCCACTTACGAGGTTTTCCTCGACAACGACGTTATGCAGTGGTAATTAGAAGCGAGATTTTGCAACAAGGATATTTCTTTGATATGCTGTCAACTGTACAATAAATTATTTGAGATCACTTCACACCTACACATATGTATTTCTGTTCCTTGCTAGAATCGTATTATACCGATTGGAGTAGTAATAAGTTAAGTTAGTGGATGATATATGCACACCCTACTAGGATCTGGGTGTTAATTGAGTTACTTTGTCGGCGGGTCTATACGATCTGACATTTTTCTCCTCGCAATTGAAATGCACGACGCGAGGGATATAAAATTACGCGATTGTCTACTGCGAAAATGTCTTTTAGGATTCTGCTGGCGCGTAAAGGGTTAAATATATGCGTTTGGGACTAGCTGTCTGGCGGTTGGGGATTTTGCCCGAATTTTGACTTAGTTTTTATTCTAAATTGCTTTAAGGTGTAAAGGTTTATTTTTGGTGTTTCAAAAGTTTCATGGTGTTATTTTTTTTAATTTTCTGTGATTGGCAGTTTTGTGTGGTGTGGAATTTATCTTTCAAATATCATTAAATAATAAATTAGATTGATTTACATCTAAATTACACATCCGATAAGTCGTGTGGCCGCAGCTTAACATTTTCAAACCGTTTTGCAATAACCTTCGTCATATTTCCCCGCAGATTGGAAAAGGGTTAAATTGAGAAAAAACTCGTAGGTTTAATAACAGCTGTTGTTTCGGTATGTACGTTTATTATTTTAGTATTTCAGTTCGCGGTAGAGTTACCAAACCATTTAACCATTTAATTACAGTCAGTGTCAAATACTTCGTTTGTGACACCCAAAGTAGCCAAAAAGTTCGCAACTTTTTGGTCACTTTGGGTGTCACGAACTACGTTTATGGTATTAAGCAGTAAAAGCTTACTTAATTACACCGTGATAAAACAAAAAATTAGGTCTACTTTAATTGCAAAAAAAAATCTGTTATGTAGATTTTTATCTTACTTCTACGAGTAAGTTTGCAGAGTTCTATTGTCATGAAAAAAAACAATACACACAGAAGATGTAGGTAAGGGCAAATAAAAGCTTGTCATAAAAATATACGGGAAAAGTTATAAGAAGTTACAAACAATCAAACATATTTTTTTTACTGATCGACTTAACATTTCCATTGTTAAGGTAGTCATTAATTAATTGGCTGGTTCTTCACAGATTTTAATTAGAAGCAGTAATTGTACAAGGCATTACTTGTTAAAAATGTTGAGATAAGAGAAATCACTTTTTAACTGCCTATTAACAGTTTTGTCTCGTTAAGGATAAAAATATGTGCTTTATTATGATTTTTTACTATGATTAATCAATTGACATTCCTTTCCATCGTAAAAACGAACATTTATACTTTATATGTCAGACAATATAAAGAAACGTCTTCCAAATGTAAAAAAACTGTACCTATTTACTTAAAACTGTACCTATTTACTTAAAACTGTACCTATTTACTTAATTGACTCATTCAGGAACCGAACCTGGAACCCTCTGCGAATCACCCACCACTACTCCGCTGTATAATAAAGCCATTAATGTCATTGAGATTACCAATTATTCAATTTATACTGTTTTAGATACGACCCACATGCGGGCCGGAGATATTAAAATTACGCAATAAATAATGTAATTAAAGAGTGTTTTCTTTAGATATTACACTAATAGGAAATACAATAAAACTATTTAAATATGTTGTAGTGTGTTTCAATAAAAATATGATTTTAAGAAAGGATTTTCTTATGCATAAGATAGATATTTTCCGTATCAACAGACACATTATTATTACATAAATATTCTAACAAATTCGCCATTATAAATAATGTCTAAATTGACTCTACTGAGATTGAACCCATTTCTTATCGAGATGATTCATCATGCAAAAACGCCGACAACCCGTCAATTACTAAATAATAACTATGGTTTTATCAATAAAACTGATCTAGATTTTTAAGAGCTGTTGGTAAATTGTATTAAAATAAAAGTAAAGTCGGCAGATAGTGGTGACTGAGTTGACTTCTTTTCACCAAATGTTGGTCTCGAAGCACTGGTAGGGTAAAAAGTAAAAAATTATGAGACATGTGAAGGCTCCATAGGGCAAAACTTTAGTTTTTGTATTAGTTTTTTATTTTAATTTTAATATTTGACGATTTGTAAGCACTATTTTTAATAATTCATGTAAATAAAGGAATTTAGACTTTGACTTTGTAAACTGCAATAACAAAAATAACAAATCCTAATTAATTTTCCTTATTAACGGCATTCAAACAAATTGCAATCATAACAATACAGTCTAATAAGAATTAAGCTTTGATTTCAAATAAACAAACAAAGGGGCGGTCGGACCCCTCGAAAGGTTGTTGAAAGTTCGGGAGCGTTTGAAGACATTTCAAAACGCTTTCTTATTGCGTCATTTATGTGCAAAAGCACGCAATTCAATTTGCGGAAGTTTTTAGTAATTAAAAATCGCGTCCCACAGGGGTAGGCCGCTATTAGCTAGCCAGGTACGATGCTTGCGTTCTTGGCGCGCTTTGACACAACGCGCTGTCTGGCCGGCCGGGCTGTTCACACTGGGCGAGCTTGCAGCGAGAACTTTTTCACTCCGATAATAAATTGTTTAGATATTTTTGGGATCACAGTTTTTTGGTCTGGTCACCGATGGTTTGATTTTAAAGTAACGGCAGAATTTTATAAATAGTTTGATAAATGTAATAAAAAATAGTCAGAAAAAAAACCACCATTATTTCTATTTATTTTAAAAGTTATTTGAATTTCCAAAATTATTTCTAAATTAAATATGTAATAAGTCTGTATCTTTGGTAAGTAGTTATGTAGTTAAGCTACTTTTTAAATTATTGCGAAAGAAATTTTCTTTACAAGGTTATTTCTTTACAGATACTAAAAGGTTAATAGTGTCTATGAACCTAAATGTTATACAAGAAAAGTGCATCTAACGTAACAAAGCTCTACCTGTTGCGGAAGCGATCTTAGCGCGCATTAAATTAAAACAAACTTTCACCAATAACAACAAAGTCGCTCAATATGTGCGGCCACAAGCTCGGAAAGCTCCCGCCCCGCCGGTGGCGGTCGGCGGCGGCGGCCAGTCCGCCGGCGGCACGCGAGCACGCCGCACGCACCATGCGCGCCCTGGCTCCGCTCGCCCTCGCCGCGCTGGCGCTCGCCGCGCCCCCCGACCCCTGCTACGACGACGCCGAGCGGCCCCGCCGCTGCATCCCCGACTTCGTCAACGCCGCCTTCGGCGCGCCCGTGCTCGCCTCCTCCGTCTGCGGCCGGCGCGGGCCCGAGCGCCTCTGCGACCCGCCCGGAGACCAGCCGCCCGACCAGGCCTGCCGCGTGTGCGACGCCGCGCGCCCCGACCGCCGCCAGCCGCCGCAGCACCTCACCGACCTCAACAACCCGCACGACGTCACCTGCTGGCGCTCCGCCCCCCTACCGCCCGCCGCCTACGACTCGCCGCCCGACAACGTCTCCCTCACGCTCTCGCTCGGCAAGAAGTACGAGCTCACCTACGTCAGCCTGCAGTTCTGCCCGCGCGCCGCCCGCCCCGACTCCGTGGCCATCTACAAGAGCGCCGACTACGGGCTCACGTGGCAGCCCTTCCAGTTCTACTCCAGCCAGTGCCGGCGCGTGTACGGGCGCCCCAACAAGGCCACGGTGACCGCCGCCAACGAGCAGGAGGCGCGCTGCTCCGACTCGCACCGCCTCGGCGACGCCGGCGGCTCGCGGCTGGCCTTCAGCACGCTGGAGGGCCGGCCCAGCGCCGCCGGCTTCGACACCTCGCCCGTGCTGCAGGACTGGGTCACGGCCACCGACGTGCGCGTGGTGTTCAACCGCCTGCACATGGTGGCCGAGGGCGACGAGGCGGACGGCAAGCTGCAGGCGGCGGCGGGCACGCAGCACTACGCCGTGTCGGACTTCGCCGTGGGCGGGCGCTGCAAGTGCAACGGGCACGCGTCGCGCTGCGTGCTGGCCAAGGCGGAGGCGGACGCGGGGGCCACGGGGGCCACGGGGGCCACGGGGGCCCCGCAGCTGGCCTGCGACTGCAAGCACAACACGGCGGGCCGCGACTGCGAGCGCTGCAAGCCCTTCCACTTCGACCGGCCCTGGGGCCGCGCCACGGCCCGCGACGCTAACGAATGCAAAGGTCAGTTTTCATGTTCATTTGCATAGAAACTCGGCCGTATTGTTGTCTTTGTATTGTTCGAGTGCACTCTCGCGAACTTTGTTGCAGTTTACGAAACGTTCCCGTGTAGAGACGGGATGTGAAATCTTCATTTCATATTCTATCGTTTTACGGGCTGCCGTAAATTAGACGAGACGTTTATGGACACTTTATAAATTACGTCGAAAAAAGCGTGTCTCCCGCACATAAAACAAGTCGTATCTTAAATACGTAAGAATGCGTGAATAATTGAGTACTTCATTAAAACCCGGGCGACATCATACTGTACAAACGAGTGCTTTCCAAAACCCGTTTCAGATAATCTTGACTCTCACGAATTACGAAACTGCGGAGATCAGTTTTTGAAATGCATAGATCTGTGTTGATGCGCGCGTCTTGTGCATGTTAAATTTTATTCCCCCATAAGCTATGGAGCGTGTGTTAGAAACTGCATCGGACCATTCATTTTCAGCGCAGCATGACATTTTCAACGAAGCACAATTTAATCTAACTTGTAACGTAATTTTATCTCGGCGGCCATTATCACTAAACGATGTGTCCAACGTATCTCGTTAAGTCAACGGCGAACTGCTACAAACAAATATTTATTTGTATTTATCACAGATTGCTTGAGCATTACGTATTCAGACGTCAGTCAGTACCCGCTGACTAACTGACTATCTGACCCAGCTACAACATTACAGTTGATTTTAATCTTGCAATAAACTTCACTTTAGTGCAGGATATTTAATGGATATTGACGTTATTACATTGGCGTGTAAAACTTGTATTTAGTAGCAATAATAGTAATTAAGAGGCTTTAGATATTAACTGTAGCCCAATACATCATTAGTGTTAATCCTTTGGCATAAATCCTACTATATTTTAGTGCATCTATAAACATAAACAAGACAAGTCGGATTTCCTGTACATCCCAACGAACTCTACTTAAACCATAGGTACGAGTACATGAAAAATTTTCATGACACGATTTTATACTAAGTTCATTTTTGATATCTACTTTATTTATTTAGTTTCATAATAGGTATTTAGTTTCCTTGGACAGAGAATTAGGAATCGCTTACAGCCAAGTTGTACATTACGTCTATAAATGGAAAATACTTCGCAGATAAACATAATAATATACAATTTATGTTAAGGCGTAGTTTTATTACGTTTTAAAGTTATGTAAATACAGTTACTTCGGCTGATAGAAAGCCTGACGCACAGCCATAAGACTGCTAAAATATGCAGCTAGACGTAAGTAACTAAAATATTGTTAATACTTAATAAAACATACTATTGTATCATTTTGACAACAACAATAACGAAACTATTTAAAAAAGTTTACACATAAAATTTGAAAATATAAATAAGTATAAGTAATTTCACAATAACATACACAACAAACACAAATTATTGAACAAACGGATCCGTAGTATATTTTCCTTGTTCTGTGTGCTTACCATGAGTTTACGTTAGGTATGCTCGCTATCGAGAACGTCAAAAAACTCTATGAAGTTTTATTTCTTGAAAGTAGCCGCTAGGGGCGCTACACAATAATATGTCATACATTTAAATGTCATTTTTTTACGCAGTCGCTAGCGAGCACACCTAACGTAAACTCATGGTAAGCACACTGATGGACATTTTTTCTAGATAACCAACAAAAGACAAAAATACCAAACATAATAGAGTCGGTTACGTTTTGTGAAACATAAGACATAAACTACTATCACCAGATATTTAACTAAAGATTTAATTATTTACTCAATGAAAATACGATAGCGTCAGCGCTATCATGGCATGCTTTTTAATTACTTTCATAATCAAGATTAAAAGCACCATAAAGCTGCATATTATACTATAACGCGGAACGGCTATCCGTCAGTAGTGAAGCAGTAAAACTTAATTACACTGGANGCACTGGATATAAATCAATTGAACTAAACGGGAATACTCAGTAAGAAAGGGTCACAAATAATTCAATCTACGAGTAAACTCCAATTGTAATTGATGCGAATATAATCACGTTATTGATGCATTACATGAATGACTGAACTTGGACCTTCTATGATTGCGAATGCAGTAAATAACTTATGAATAATTTATACGACAAATAGTATCAGATTGTAACAATGTTGACGTTCGCTTCAAGGTGAGTTTATTTTCATATACATAATTACTAAAATTTATGTATTTTAGCTAGTCATAATACTCCATAACTCTCTACTGTGTCATTTCTCTAGTAAGGAAAAAAATACTGATAACGTCCAATTTATAAACTCCAATCACAACTTGTTATAAAACTGTAAAATGTAGAGCTATTTGTATCCCTATTTAATTATGGCATATTAAAAATAAGTCAAGTAACCCCACAACTTAAATTATGTTGTGATCATCAAATTATAGTATCATGGAGGTGTAACAAAAACCTATAAAAGCCCCGCACTCTATAAACTATAAACCCAACGTCCTTACCATAGATGGAGTTAATTTCAAACGCATCCTTGGGACGTCCATACTCTATAGTATGTGTTGTAAGTTTATGATAATATGGTAGGAGGCCACAAATCATAGGGCGCGTGGGCGCACCATTATCGCCCGACCTTAGGGTCACCATCAAACGTAAAATGTGACCACAGTTCGGACTAATAAGTAGTTAAAAAGTAAATATAAAGAAGCACTTATAATAGCAATGTGTGCTTGTAAGTACTCGTATATTTTAAAAAGAGTGCATAATTTTATTGAATTTAATTTTAACACAAAATTCACTGCTCTAAAAATATAGTCTGTAGTCATTGCAGAAATCAGCTCTAATTATGTATTACTAAAACAAATAGGTACTGAATAATGAGTTATGATATTCGGCAGACAGAGAAAGTCGGCGTCTATTCTTCTAAGTCCTAAGAACAAGAAGTTGGACATAGAAAAAAGTTTTTATTTTTATTAAACAAATACATAGTATGAAAGTGATACGCCTGTGATTGCCACTAAAGCTAAACAATACACTGTCCAGTTTGTACTCGCTTCCGAATGGCGTAACCAATGTACAGTTAATCCGGACAGCTGCAATCTTGGATGCATAGCTGCCCGACAAAAGCCCGGCTCTGTAACACGCCGCTTAATTTGTCCGGACAAGCGTCCGGGATGCCTAACACTAATCCGGACGTTTGGCAGCCCTGCGGATAAATAAGGGACGACGAAAAAAGTTATTTCCTTAACCAGGCGATAAGATTTAATTCTAAGAACGTCCTGTTATTGTGAACTTGTTACTTGTTGTTTAAGTTTGGTTAATTTTGACAATGTTTTCACAGTCTCTTGAGATTCCATTTATTTTGTGTTAAAATGCTTTCAAACATTACTAATTATATTTTTTCTCATAGTGGCTTTTTGAACGACATCTTATTGGCGCCTTGGTTTGACATCCTTACAATAAAGTTGGAAAAACTAATGTAGAGTCCATTGCAAAAACCTAATTCTTTAAAATAAAGTCAGTTGTTCGTATTAGTTACAGTTTTTCTCGTTACTGTATTATTCATTGCTTGTAAACCATCTCATTATACTTTGAGATTGTTTTGCATTATGTATCGCTTGTAAATATATTTGTTCCCATTGTAATTGAAATCTGACATCTGCGTACATTGTGCATGTTTTAGTCACAACTATTGTANGTTAGTATTGTCATTATTTCAAGTTTTGCGTGAATTTGATGTTATTGAAATCCAATACACGGAATACAAATTATAATTTTAGGCGATAGCAGCTAGTTTTTGAACTGTCGATTGCTACAGTTACGCTAGTTCGATCTCCGACATCGTTAAACTACGAGTATTGTTTTGAACCTACTCCTAAAGCTAGTTTTTTGACTTAACTGGAGGGGTTAGTGGGAATATTAATAAATATAATTTGTGTATTAAAAATTACTACCTAGTACCTCATCATCATCATCATCGTTTCAGCCATAGGACGTCCACTGCTGAACATATTAGGCCTCCCCCACTAGTACCTACTTAACTAAAAAGAAGAGATTTCCATCATGTTTACTCGACAATTCTGGCCACATGTTTTATGACATTGTTTTATGATGATGCTAGACAATTTTTACAAGTAGGTACTTATTCAAAGACAATCATATGGGTTAATGACCTCAAGCTACTGTTATAAATTCACCGTATAAAATCCACTAATTCAGTAAGACTGGTAATGTTTCGTATAAATAAAACCCGAGCTCTAAATCTCGGGGCTTTCATCATGAATTCAACGAATTAATCTGACATTTTACACGCAAAATATTTGTCGGTTTGTTAATCTGCAATAAATCTGCAAAATGACGTGTATTTGCAGTTGGCAGTGCAACAAGCCGTATGTCACGGTGTTATGACTTCGTTCGAGTGAATCAGTGCGAGTTACGGGACGGGCAAAGCCCAAAATGGGGGGATATAATGTTGACAAAGTTTACATGAGCAAGTAAAGAAAGACGTTGGCATTAGTACGAACCACTGGCACAATGTGGTATTGTTAATTGAAAGAAGTACCTGCTATTTTGCACAAAAAATGTACTTTTAAAAAGCCGTAATTTTCATTAAGCTCGGAAAATACACGCGTCATCGCCGTCGTCAAGTTCTCGCTAAACATTTAAAACATCGGTCTTACACACAATTTCTGGTACAACAAGTAAATTTAAATAACTGGTAGGTACCTACTCGATAGTAATATTTGAGATATTCTATCTTAATCTCTTAACTCAGTGAACACAATTAGCGTCCTTCGAATAATTAATTACCTTAGCTCATTGGTTGATTTTCGATTTATATTATTTAATCCTAATGCTATTAGTAAACTAGGTACTATTTATAATACCAATCATGGCGCAACAAATCAATCCGTCATAGTTAACGCAAATTCATCAATATGTAAATCAACGCTAAAACTAAAAGCGGTAAAACGAAAATAAATAACTTTACGCAGAGCAATAATTG